TTCCCCAAGGAGCAATACCATCGGTCCCTCCAATTGGTGCTTCCCTCTCGTGTCATGGCTTACTACTAATTTACAAGAAACTCCGCGAATATAGGCTAGTCCTCTGGCAGCGAACGGGACGAATCTGTTTTCGCCATGTCTGACGCCGACGATCTTCTTTCGTTCCCCCTAGCGAGCCATTTCTCGAGTAGCGTCGCCAACTTGAAAACGAACCCGAAACTCGGTGTATACATATGTGTATGTATATATATACACATCTATTTTGCCTGTACTAAAAGATAAATAGGTCGGCTAGAAGTTCGAGGCCGTAGCTTGCTCGAGAGCGTGGGTTCGTTCTGTTTTTTTTTCTTTCCTTCCTACTGAAAAAAACAAAGGAAAATAGACAAGAGAAGTAAGCATTCGACTTTTCACGTAGCTTCCACCGCGACGACATTTACCCACAGCCACCAGCAAGTCGGATAAGCTTGGAATAATAATGGCCGCCGTGTACTTCATAATGCACCGGCTGCTGCCCTGTGTAAAGGAAACGAAATAAGAAGCGGACGACGGGCATACCTATATATGGTATCGTAGCGAAGTAGATACACGAAGGAATAAATTTTTATCCGAAGCGCAATTTTTTCTATTATCTTTTTCTTTTTATTTTTTCCTACTAACGAGTAAACTTCAAACGACACGGACGGCACGTGGTTAATCGAACATTCCGAATTTTCATTTATTTTCTATAAATTGCCTAATCAAATAGTGCGACTCGTATATACGTCATAGGTACAGTCAACGTCATACACTTTCAATTAAGTATATTTTATCACACGTACCGGGTACAGTATTTACTAAAATTTATCAATCACTCCAAAATCAAGTGAATCAAAAGTCAATGATGAAAACAGATATTGACGTTGACTCTCCAGAGAAAAAAGTCAAAAATGATCTACGAGGAAGAAAAAGAAGAAAAGCAGATATTCTTATAATATAACCTAAAAAGTGATTTACCTGAAAAAAAAAAAGAAATTAAAACTAATTCGTCAAAAACGACTGAATCGCCATTAAACGAATGACTCTGTTTAAAGTCAAATAGCAGCCAGCCGTAACACCAACTTCCTATAGAGATTCACAAAAGTACATTCACCTGCCGATGCAGCACTCGGATCCTCCCTTTACATTAAAACGTAGGCCCATCCGCAAGCCAGTGCTAAATCATACGGCCGTCGTCTGGCGCGCTCATTGAATTCCGGATAAATCTACTAGCGATTAATACGAGGATATATTTGTTATGGGTAAACCGGAAGATATCGACAAGACGTGCCGGCTCGACCGCATAACACGTATATCCGGACACGTCTAGATGTATCAGGAGCCATAACGGTTGGGCTACGCCTGATCATTATAGATATAGGAGGCGGTGAAGTACGAGCTATATGTATACATAATCGTATATACACAAGAGCTATATACATATATATACCCACCCATAAAGCGTATACACATAAAGAGCGAAGCCCATAGTGTTCCCAGTCGCCTATGAAAAATTTGCAGGAACATTTATTTCCCAAAGACTGCAATATACCGGGTGCCGACGGGTACCAGAGGGGGAGAGGAGAGAAGGCAGAGGACCCAGACTTGATGACGGGGGATAAAGATTAAAGTGGGAAACACCTTTTGCCATGAACGTTCAGGAGCGAACCTCTGAGCTTGCTCGCTGGTCCCTCGGCCTCCTCGCATTGTAAACGGATTCAATACGATCTTCAAAGAAGTACGAAATTCTATGTACGCAGATACCGGATGAACTAAAGAGCCAGACACTTTCTTTTTTGTTCACCGGCGTCGCTCCTTCCCGGCGTCAAGTATCTAGTCAAAATATTTTACAACTTTTAAACAAACCTCCATATATATATATGCAGATATACACACCGAAGGATAACTGGGATAGATCTGATTCACCATACAAAAGATAACTCTGGTCTACGGGTGAGATAATTTTTTTTTTCCTTTTTTTTTTACTAAAAATAATTACGCCATATCCACGTGACGAACAATTTTAAAAATATCTTATATAAAGTCGAAAATTACAAACCCTGCGGATAAATCGTGCTTTTACGTTCGATCGCTCATTCCAACTGAAACTGTATAGGCCGTAGCAGGCATAGTATTTCCCTGTTGGCAATACGACTGGCTGGGAAATTGTTGCGCAACGGACGAAGAAGGTCGAGTAGAGGCCCGAGAGACCAGAGGAGGATAGAACGACGGCGGTGGCGGTGATGGCGGGTTACCCTGTTATTAGTAGCGGGCAGAACCGTCGCGTTTAACGAGTGCGGAATGGGTCGAGCGAGCGAGGTGATTAGTCAGCCAGGATATCCTAGGATCCTGATAGAAGTTTTATGGCGCGACAACGCCTTTCTATCCTGCACTGCGAGCGCTTTAAGGTTAAGGCGAGTCCGAATGCTCGGGACACGTCCACCCCTCCCGTTCCCGTCTCACCAGTGACTCCCGCGTATTTACGTGCGTTCGACCTGCAACTGGCAGAGTGAACGGAACGTTATTTCCATTAACGGTGACAACAGGAACTCGATAATTCGTCGAAAGATTTTACACTGAAAATGCGTACGGGGACAGTCGCAAAGCTGTACCGGATTAAGACACGTCACCCTGTATAACGTTTTGTAGACGATTATTGAGAGGGTTTATCGTTACTGCGAAAATATATATACATATACACGCCATACAAGCCTATCTCGGATAACCTCCGTCGCCCCACATTACTTCTGCACAGTTCGCCGATTTCCAAAAGAGCTTTCGGCTGCTGCGTACGATCGTTAGGAGTATGTGACGTCTTGGCAACTTCTCGCCAAAGGCGACGAAGATTAAACGTTCCGGCTTCTTTTTTTTTCCTCTTCCCACCCTCTGCCACCTAATCGAACCAGAGGCCTCCTTACCACTTCACTTCTCAGCGCTAACCTCTCACCTTCATCGGCAGGCCTCCCCCCCTCGCCCCCGGTTCTCGCCCTTAGTCGACCCACCGATCCCCTTCAGGCCGGACCTGCCTCTCGACACAGGACCTCGTCATGTGCGAGGCGGATGATAGTGCGGCCTATCCTTTTCATTCCAAACGTATATCCCCCCCCCCCCCCCCCCATTTCAAT